ATGCAAGAGCGGGTTCGTCTTGACGTCAATGTCAAAGTACGAATGTTGGAGCGAGAGCACTTGGAGGTTGGCGCTGAAGAGCGACCCCGCCAGCATCGTGGCCGCCATCGCCTTGAGCTTGGGCGCCATGAGGTAGAGGTACCCGAGCCAGAACGTCACGACCAAAACGACGAGGAGCGTCGGGAAGATGCGCCGGACGCGCCGGACGTAAAAGCCCGCGTACGTAAAGCTGCCGCGCTGGTGCTCTTTGAAGAGGATGCCGGAAATGAGAAAGCCGGAAATGACAAAGAAGACGTCGACACCGATAAAGCCACCGGGCAAGAACGCCGGGTACGCGTGGAAGACGAGAACAGGGACCACCGCGAGGGTTCTGAGGCCGTCGACGTCGGGGCGGTATGTGTGCGGTGTCGGCGACACGTCCGGCGCCGGCAGCGAAGCGTCTTTTCCTTTTAAAAGACCGTGCGACTCCTCGGGAATCGCGATCGCGTCCGACATGCCAGGGTCGAGCTCGCGGACGAGAATCACGGTATCGTCGCCTCTTGGCGAAACGTTTGGTTCTTGTTCTGATCTTCTATCTTGCTCGGCGCTTCGCGACCACGGTGCGGCCTCTTGGTGCAGTTGACGGAGGCAACGTGCTTTGGTGCGCGCACTACCCCGCGCTCCTCACAGAAGCCCGCCGCAAGACCACGAACGCGACTCGCTTGACGCTACGGCTTGCCTCACGAGCGCATGAGGAAGTCCTCCACCTTTACATTGTATCATTGCATGTTAATTACTCCTTTCAACAACAACAGAGGCAACGCAAAGTGACCGTTGACGGGCAATGACGAGGATTAAATTCGCTCGGTCGGGCCCCTCTGCAGCACGAGTACAGCCCGTTGATCAATTTATGGACTCCTGTCTGAGGGCACGTTAGACATCCAAGACCGCCATGATCCAAGGAATGCTGAGTACCTCGCAGTCGATGAGATCGAAGACGACGTGGCAGGTCTCGGCGTTGATGTTGTCTCGTGACGATGCAGGCGGCATAGACCGCCAAAGACTTCGTTGGAAGCGCGGGTCCGAGCTTTTTTCAAGTTTTCGTGTCGGGTCGTCGACGCCGAAACCTGCTGCGACTGCAACCGTTGGCGAGACGAGGGCCGCTTTTCGCTCAAGGTGAGTACAGCACTGCTGAGGGAATAGCGCAACCACGCAACCACGGATTCTTGCACACCGCGAGGAGTTGATGTCCAAGGCGCTGGAACTGCCACAACATATAAAAACGAACCAGTACATTGGGCTCTGCATCGTACTCCTCGGCAATGACGCCCAACTGGCTCGTCCCGCTCGACGGGTGCTTGACGAATACTGCCAGCGACATCAATTATATTTTTGGGTCCAAACGTGTGCAGCGGGTGCGACGGTCAACTCAAGTCGGCCGCAGTGAGCGTCGTGATGGGGGCTGTTGGCAACCACCACACCAACACTGCATCCCCAACGTCGTGTCCCGAGTATTGCTGGTTGCAAATCGAGATTAAGTGGCTCGTTATTGGCCGTCGACGGCCACAATCCAGGCGCCCGCGCAGCCATTCGTGCGTAGCCTGCACTGTAAGTGTAATCACACCAAACGGCCACACAGTGCAAGGCATTATCATACATGGGTTCGGCGTGAGCCATGAATTACAAAACCGATCACGATCACGCAGGGGGAGCTCCAGGGAGGATAACTCGCAGCTTGCAAGGATATTATTGTCGCGCTCTGTAGTAATATCTTTCTTGGTGCCAGCCGGCGACAAGGAACGCGTCGGTGCTTGCATCCTATTTGGCCATAAAGACTATGTATGCACGCAGCAGCTCGGACAGCGCTCAGCTTTGTCGGAACGTTAACCGTGTTCGTGTCGTGCGTATTCTAAGGTATTGCAGCTATCGTGAGCATCGAACCACCAACTGCTGTACTAGAACCGGTTGTACATTATGCAATCCTGAATGCGACACATACTGTAGTCGTGCCTAACTGGCAGTACCTCATGGGTTACAAAAGTATAGCGACGCGCTATCTTGCGGACACGGCATACAGTTCTCAGTCCAACGTGTCTGCCATGCGTTGAGCCGTGTGCGGGGTGGATGTCGCTTGGGGGCACTAAATCATGTACCGGTAGGCCATTGGGTATGCCGGTAGGCGATCCTATTAAATTCGCGACACTTTAAAGTGGCATGCATTCTCGAGTGGACCTTCGTGCCTCAGCGATAGCACCGATGCGATCTGACTCGACCAGTTTACAGATACGAGGGGCCCAATTTGTGGCTTGTGCCTGTCTGGACGATGAGTCAAACGGGCGTCAAACGTGTGGTTCCCAGTGTGATCGGGCATATGTTTTTTCCGAAACGCTTGCATTCCACCCTGTCACGCTGTGCCCGCGTCTCCACACCATTGAACAACCGACAAGTATGTGGTGTTTTCACTCGCACTAGAATTGCAAACAAAGGCTAGAGTAGAATGTACACTTGAAGGGGAACGGAATCAACACTACCTATGGTTTTTGTCCGAGGTGGCTGGTAGGTGGAATGGACGACCGTTACCAACTGTATTACAGTACCAGTACACCCACGCACAACAGAAGGGCGATAGAGGTGTAATGGACAGCTGCTGCAACTCTCTTGGAGATGGGAATTTTGGACGTCGGCGGCGCGTTCTTTCTCGACACACATGGGAATTGATTTGTCATAGCGCTGGTTTACACCCAGCGCTGTTTACATTGCCGCGCCAGGAGCTTGCCACCAGCGTTCGATCAAATATTCCCTGCGAAGTTTGCAGAATTACATGGCCAAATTGGATACCTATGGTACCTACGCGATGCATGGTCGCGCAAGTTGATCAAAAATTCGTCTCGTGTTGGTAGCTCTCTTTACTGCCAATGAACTTTGGTCATTTTCACTTTTGCTCATGAACAGTCAATCGACGCCATCGACAACACCAGAGACACCACGCGCAAAATCACCGGACGAGATGACCGTTGCTCTAGACGCTTTGCTGCCGGCGCCGGACGTGTCGCCGACACCGCACACATACCGCCCCGACGTCGACGGCCTCCGAACCCTTGCGGTGGTCCCTGTTCTCGTCTTCCACGCGTACCCGGCGTTCTTGCCCGGTGGCTTTATCGGTGTCGACGTCTTCTTTGTCATTTCCGGCTTTCTCATTTCCGGCATCCTCTTCAAAGAGCACCAGCGCGGCAGCTTTACGTACGCGGGCTTTTACGTCCGGCGCGTCCGGCGCATCTTCCCGACGCTCCTCGTCGTTTTGGTCGTGACGTTCTGGCTCGGGTACCTCTACCTCATGGCGCCCAAGCTCAAGGCGATGGCGGCCACGATGCTGGCGGGGTCGCTCTTCAGCGCCAACCTCCAAGTGCTCTCGCTCCAACATTCGTACTTTGACATTGACGTCAAGACGAACCCGCTCTTGCATCTCTGGTCGCTCGGCGTCGAGGAGCAGTTTTACATCTTTTGGCCGCTGCTCGCGTCTATCGTCATGCGTCTGAGTTACCGCAAGGCGATCGCGCTGCAACTGACCGTGCTGGTCGCGAGCTTTGCCACCAACGTTTGCTTTCTCGGCTACGATGGCAACAACAAAATGTCGTTCTACATGCCGCTGAGCCGGTTTTGGCAAATGTCGCTGGGCGGTCTCCTCGCCTACCTCCACATGCACGGCGTCGCCATCACGAGTCGTTGGGGACGCCATTGCGTCTCCGCCGTCGGCTTGGCTTGCGTGCTCCTCGGCTTGCTTTGCATTGACGAGACGAGCGCGTTTCCCGGCTACTATGCGCTGCTCCCGACAATCGGGGCGACGCTTTTGATTGCCGCCGGCGCCGACGCAAGTGTCAACACATACCTTCTCAGCAACCGCGTCGCCGTCTACGTCGGCAAGATCAGCTACTGCCTCTACCTCTGGCACTGGCCGCTCCTCGTCTTTGCGATCGA